TAAAGAAAGTCCAACAAACAAGTAAATACAAATATAATAAAATATCAAAAACTATCGATGTCTGCGGTGCGAATGTGTTCCACAGTACGGTGACCGTATGTCTCGAGGAGGATTTCTTCATATAATTGGTTCTGACTCCTCACTATCATTATTATCTTCATCACCATCATCATCATCATCGTCAATGTCGTCATCGTCGTCGTCAGGAGCATATACATTTTATTGATGAGGAATTGATAACGATGTAGCACCTCCATAAAATAAGGACCCTGGAGGTGTATGACTGGCTATCCCACCGCTCATAGAAAACTGGGAAAACTAAAAAAACACAAACATCGATGAGTGAGAAAACTGTACAGGAAGTGTCTGTGCGGCGGCCATTAGTGGTGAGGCTGAACCCGTCAAATAACTATTATATGAACCCCAAGTCAGATCTAAAAACATATAACCATAATATCCTCTAGGAGATATCATATAACTCTGTGGCGATGGCGACATCTGGTATGGGAACCACGGTGGCAGCATCTGATATGGTTGTGGGGTGTATATCATTGCAGACGGTGGTTGTTGTGAAGGTTCTGGTGCTGCAGCAGACGACGAACCGGAAGCAATTCTTTCCGTCCACGAGTCGGGGGATGATGGGGTTGTAACGGTGCACGTCTCTGTCGACGTCGATGAATTTCCGTCCTCGTGCATCCTCAGAAAGCATGAACGATTTCCCGTTACTGTTGAACCACTCGTAATAACCATTTGCAACCGTCAAATGGTCTACATAAATAGATTCTATATGGGGAATGCGCTGACGTCGATCCTCTCATATCATGATCCACTCATAATGCTTCAGCAGCCAATCTATATCTGTCTTACTGCGCCGATCGTTGTTATGCAACTGGTCGAGATTTTGAGGTGCTTCCAGAATTTGTTGTACAAAACCAAATTGTCGGAGCACGCGATCAGTGGGGTGGCACTCGACAATCGTATAACAGATCAGAGGGACCACCGCCATCCAAACATCTAATAGGCCTCTTAACTCATGTGGGATGTAGATCCTCATATCATCATTACAATAAAGAGCTCATTCAAACTACAATAAATATATATAATTATTATCAAAATAATAATATAATTATATAACTATAATACAAAATAGATTTTCAAACATTTAAATACATACCTCTGTGCCAGCCTTCTGATCAATTAGTAGCCTGATTAATTCTAATTCATCAGGTAGATCCCGATGATTTTTCCTGTCAATGCACCACCTATTCAAGGAAATAAATTTTATTATATACTAGATAAAATGATTAATATACGAAATTAGTTTTTTAATTACCTCAATAGTAGCGAGAATACGAACGGGTTTTTCACAACAGGACATAAAAAGGGCATGCGATACCATACCCAAGACTGCAGTAGAATGAGACATCCGCCGATAGCATTTTCCTGTAGTCAGTAGCTCGACACATCTCCCTATACAAGAATGCCAAAACTGTCGAGCCCCAACTCAGTGATCCAGCCAGATGAAAATCACCAAGATGTCGCAACCACATTCAGTGAACTTGGTTGCTCAATTTGTCTGGCATCAACAACCCTCCTATCAGATAAAGTATGTATGCCCGTGCATACTTTTTAACTTGATCCTCTGAGGCGTCCTCACTTAAATTCTTGAAATTTGCATCCAACCAATTTAACGGAATCCGACCACCGTTAAAATTTGGCAGGCACCTTCTAGATATTCCTAGCACAAAGAATTCCAGTTACCGTGCGCCACCTCTGAAAGCACATCTCCATCCACCAGAAGCCCCAAGTGCATGGAAACATCCTCCAACGTAATCGTGCACTCTCTGCACGGAAGATGGAATGTGTGTGTCTTTGGTCTCCACCGTTAGACTAATGCAAAAATCAGGTTTGGTTCTATCCTACAGTGGCCTTCATATCTAGCTTTGTAACTAAATCCATCCTCGACTAAATACAGCCAGACACGGGTTGATATTGCTAACTTAAGGTTACGGATAAAAGGATCTAATATACGGTCGTTCTCTTAAAAATATTAATAAAAAAAAATTAATTGATAAACTAATAATAAAAAATTAAGTAAATAAATTATTACTAATAATTTAAATTAAATTAAAATTTAAAAATATTATCATATCAGCAAAATATTTCGATATATGATTTTCATCCAAACAAAACAGATATCCTTTCATTTTATAACTGCAAAAAAAATAAATAAAATACTAAAACAATTTAAAAATACAATAATTAAATAAAATACTAAAAAATAAATGGAATATAATATAATATATTATCTTATAAATAAAAATTGATGGGGTTTGATTTTTGAGAGGATTTGATGTGGTGAAAATAGTTGAGAGAGGGTATTTAGAGGATGTGATGGAGAGTGTGAACGGGCGGATGGAGCCGATTAAATACCAAAGGCATAATCCATGCATCGCGCCTATCTGACGCATGTTAGTTGGCAGAAAGGCACGGCCCATACACCGCGTCTTACCTCACGTGACGCCACATCAGCGTAAGGCGTGATGCATGACCGCGCCTTTATGCAAAAGGTATTAGATCCATAATATCTTCTCTAACGATATCTGACACGTAAAAATTTAATCAAATGGTGATTTTTCGGAAAAATCACCCATATTTTTAACATAATCACTTGCATTTTGGATTAGGTTTTAGGCATGATTTTCTGAAATCTGATGGGCCATTTCAATGACACTTTGTGTTCATCCATTGGCTTATCTCTCATAAAACTCCAAAGCTAATCAATTGTTTAATCTCAGCTTAATCATTGTTTATCTCGTAGGGAACGGCATTAGGACACTTAAAAACTTTATCCAACCTATATAAAAAGCCTATTCATAGGTGTCATTGGATTACCACAATGATTACTTTTGAGTGAATTAATTAACCCTTTTTTTCTCTAGCTTTAAATCTTTGACTCAGGGTGAGGCTGGCTGAGTTGGGCGCGTGTTTAAAGCGAGTAATTAGGTTAATAATTTTTATGATTAATAAAATGAAGGTTTGAGTAAAACACGAGAATAAAAGAATAATTTAAGATTAAAGGTAAACTTCGTTAATCAAATCCCCACGCATGCATGTAAGGATTGCGTGTTATCAGGTTTTGACCGTAAAATTCTGTTTTTTTGGGGTTTAATTAGTGATTTTGAATTAATTTATTTCTTAAAGTATAAATTATAATAATTATATTGTCATAATTTTTAATTTTTAAATAAAAATAAGGGTAAAGAAAATAAATAATCCCTGACTATAAATGCACTACTTTATTAAGTTATTTGATTATTAAAATTTATAAAATGGTCATTCGATTATAGAGTGTTACTTTATTGAGTTCATCGACTATTAAAAGTTACAAAATGATCAACCAACTATTCATTATATTCCAAACTCGTCCTTTTCCGTTTAACGTTAACCTGCTAAATATGATATGATAAAATCTGATCCCAGAATCCCAAATGAGTATCATATCTCAGTCATCATGTTAAAGTCTAGCTTAGACAATCGTCATTTTTTAACAAAAAAAATGACGAGTTAGGAACATAATAAGTAGTTGGATGATCATTTTGTAACTTTTAATAATCAATGGACTTAATAAAGTAATATGTTATAATCAAACGACTATTTTTTAACTTTTAATAATTAAGAGACTTAATAAATCAGTACCGTATATCCGAGATACTTTACCCTAAAAATAATTAGGATTTAAGAACTTTAAATAATTCTAACTTTTCCAGACTCTTAATTTCAATCACTACTTTTATCTGGACATCACCCCAATTGATTTATTTTTCCTTTGAAAAACGCCTAATTGAATAAAAATGGCAGCGAATCAAGGGAAAAAATATTGCAAAAAGGGTCAACCACACTAATACACAAATGGTGTGTATCAACGGCCGACCTAATCGGATTAAACTAACAAAAGAGAATCCCTATTAGCATTCAATCATAAATTTAAGCACGGTTTAGTTTAGATTAACCCTAATTAAAATCATTTAGTTTTCTCTTAGAGTCACATTCCTAGTTTTAAAAAATATATTTTCTTCTAAATTGAAATAAAAAAACCTAAATCTCCTTTTTAGTAGCCTTCGTGGGTATATATATATGGGTAAACTACATATTTAGTTACCAAGTATACTTGTGGTTCCGTTTCAGTCATTCAACTATTTTTTTTTTCAAAATCATATATAACATTACGTTTTAGTTATATTTTGATCACATGTCATTTAAAAATAAACATAACTGTTGATGTGAAATTTTTTTATTTTCTCAATGATGATGTGATACTACCTTATGGTCATTAGTTATGTTTATTTCCTAAAGTTGGGTGACCAAAACGAAATATATGATTTTGAAAAAAAAAAATAGATGATCAAACAGAACTCCGAAAACATATGAATGACTAAATACATAATTTACCCCTCATATATTTAAGCTTTATCTCTTTGTCTCTCACGCACGCACGCATTTATAAATAACAAAGGCAACCACTGCCATTTTGCTTTTACGAGGAACGCCACCTTCACCATTGTTCTACTGTTTGAAACCATTGTAAGCCTTCTTCTTCGTAGGGTCTTTTTATTTATTTTTTTCATTCTCTGAAACTTCATAATCTCAGAATCACCGTTTTAGTCTGGGTTTGATTTCTGTTTTTATCTGCAATTATTCCTTTAGTTTTCCATTTTCATCTTCGTTCCACGTTTATTGATTTGATCGTCTTCTTCATGATTGAAAATTATTAACAGTGGCGTTGACTACTCCTGCTTTGAAATACCACAAATTTGAATTGTAAAAGATCCATCTTCTCAATATAATCCTATACTTATTATTTTTTTACCCAGTTTCCACCATGTCTTCTTCTCCGTAAAGAAGCTTAAAAAGCTCAAAACCCAAGCTTTTTTACAATATTATATTGAGAGTTCAGTTTCCTTTTCCTCTTTTTGAACTATTTTTATTCTCCATTTTGCTTTCAGGCAGCTAAGCAACGAGAAACAGATATGGGAAAAGTCTCCAAGGTGCCATTTTTTTTCATCGTTCGTCGGATTTTTTATGAACGGATTGCTTAAAATCTGAATCTTTTTTTAAAAAAAATTGGGTTTTGCAGTTTTCGAGTCCTAAATTAATAGTCCGGAAATGGCTGAATATACCGAGTGGAGCAGACGAGTTTCACTCCGATTACGACATCAACGGTAGAAAACTGAAAAGCCCACCATGAATATGTCTCGTTTCAGGTCAAATTTCAATACCAGATTTCGTTTTAGAATCAAAGGAAGAATCCATGTTATTGTTTCTTTTACAGACAAACTTGATGAAAGAAGAAAGAGTTGCTCCGACGAGGAACATTACGTGTTCGTACCGGAAGATTTCTCAGGTCGATTTTTTGCGTGTTTCCTTCTTGTAACACTTAGATTTACTTCATTGTTTTTGTTAACTGTGAGTTTTTTGGTTTTTAATAGAAGGTTGGTTGATGGAAGCAGCCGGAGGGATTAAACCGACGATGATCTCGCCGGAGACATTGCCCGTCTCTGATTCAGTCAACCTCAGGTGAGGTCATAAAAACTCTGTTAACTACTTGTAGGATTATGGGAGTTACAGATGCTTATAACGTAGTTATTATATCGTTTTTCAAGGTTACCGTGGAATTACAAACCGCATGCATAACATAATAATAACGTAATTATTTTTAAGAAATAAATTACATCCTAACATCTACAATTGTTGTAACATCAAAACGGTAACAGTAAGTGTAATTTGGTAATGATTGTGTTCTATTTTTTTAAGGAATTGGGTTTTTTTTTCTGATATGGGTTTTGTTTTTTCTGAGCTTCCAGGATGTTTGTAGGGACATGGAATGTGGGAGGGAAATCACCTCACCATGGTTTGAACTTAAGAGATTGGTTAAGGTCACCTGCTCCTGCTGATATCTACGTTCTAGGGTACATTCTTGCTCTTTTCCTCTTTGTCCCGATCCTGATCGTCTACCTTGATTACTTGCTCGTCAAGTTATTGGCTCAAACTGGTTTTTTTTTTTTGCTTGTTAGGTTCCAGGAAATTGTTCCTCTAAACGCCGGCAATGTGCTCGGAGCTGAGGACAACGGCCCGGCTGCACAGTGGCTTTCCCTTATTCGTCAAGCATTGAATACCAACCCAAGTGGCCTAGAGCTTGATCAATGTTACAATATCACTAGTCCGTCCTCACTGCAGCTTGAGCAACACGCAACCGTGAAGCCAAGGGTCAGCTTTTCCGATTTACTTTCTACGGAAGACGAAATCGGAAAAGAAGATTTCGAAAGTTCGATAAACTTGAATTCGAGTTTAACCGAAGATGGCTCACCTCGCCTGACATATGTTTCTGACAGTCCAAAGCGGCAGCGTTTCTGCCTAGCTGCGAGCAAGCAAATGGTTGGTCTTTTCCTGTGCGTGTGGGTTCGAGCTGATATTTCCCAGCATATTAGCAACCTGAAAGTCTCGTGTGTTGGCCGTGGCATCATGGGATATCTGGGAAACAAGGTCAGCGATCTCATTTATTCGACACCGGTGTCGATAACAAAAATAATCCAGCATTTATATCAGTTAAATTTGGAATTGCATGAAGTTCAACCTCTTTTAATATCTGCAACAGGGTTCAATATCTATCAGTATGACTTTGCACCAAACCACGTTCTGCTTCGTTTGTACACACTTGACTTCCGGGGAGAAAGAAGGCTATGAGATCAGAAGGAATTCCGACGTTGCCGAAATCTTGAAGAGAACAAGGTTCTCTCATACACTTCGAGGCCGCAAACATCCTCTTCCTCCCCATACCATTTTCGAGCATGAGTAAGCTTCTAAAATCATTATGCATTTCTAAATTTTCATACATGTTTTGTTAAGCCTCTAAAGGTTTTCTCTGTTTCTTGTTCAGTAAGATTATCTGGTTGGGAGACTTGAACTATCGGCTTGCCGCCGGTTGTGCCGATACATACGAATTACTGAAGAAGAATGACTGGCAAACACTTCTAGAGAAGGATCAGGTAACAGGCTAATGATCTGAACATTGAATTTCTTCATTGGTTAATATTTGTTACATCTAACATGTGATTGTCTTGTTGCTTGGCAGCTAAGATTGGAGCAAAGGGCCGGTCGGGTGTTCAAAGGATGGGAAGAAGGCACGATATACTTCGCTCCAACTGACGCCAGACAGAATAGTGATTATCCTGCAAGTGCTCCAACAAATGATTCACAAGAGAAAATTCGTCCAAAAAAAACCAGAGAGAAAAGTCTCTAGGGTTTAATAAAATATTATAAATTCAAAACCATCCACAATCAGTCCACAAGCCGGACTGTTATAGCCAAAAATCGTCTTTATTCGAATTTTGCCAAAAATAGCAAAATCCCGAAAATCAATCTAAATTGAAATTTGAAATAAAATAAGCAATCTCCAAAAAATCCGGCCTAAATCGGATTTAAATTGACTTCCTAATTGATAATCGAAATATTACCATAAATAGTAAAAAATATCTAAATCTAGTGATTCGGATGGGGAAAATGGCAGAATTTGAGGTCGAAAAGAGTTTTCCGGATTGGGGTCTTATGCGCGATTCTGACACCTGTAGTCAAAGTTATGGCCAAAAGACTGAAACATACTCAACGACCCCAATGAAGAACATGCCACAATCAATTCCCGCCTTTGCGCTGATCTACCAATTCATAGTATCTCAGCGCCATCAAGATGTAATCTGACAGCTCAGCATCATCTGTCTCGGATCCCCTGCATCACCAACGTACAAATATCTCGCCGATTTCGATGTCTATGTCGTGCGAAAAACGAATTCCAAAGAAAAACGACGGATTCCGGCCTGGTAAGACATCGGATTCTTGTTCCTGTCACCACCAGTTCTGCTTAACTTTTAGTAATTGAATACATGAAGCAGAGATTAAATTAAATCCCAAGTTGTGCATTAATTAAGGTTGCTTGTTGTTGCCTCCATCATCCTTTGAAAACAGTAATCATGCTGATTTTTATATGGTTAGATATATATAATTATGTGGTGTTGGTTACTATAATCCCGCTCCTAGTTTTGGCAGTTCTCATTTTTTTGGTTAATTATAGTTTTAGTCCCTCCATTATGTTAAATTTAAGATATTTATCATTTTACTTTACTTTAATATAACTTTGTTCTCCTACTTTTTATAATATTATAGTTTTCATTGTTTTTAGGGTAAACTACGTATTTAATCACCCACCTATTCTAATGGTCTTATTTTGATCATCCGATTATTCTTTTCAATCATACACGATGTTATGTTTCGGTTACCTGCCCTTAAAATATTAAGGGTAAACTATGCATTTAGTACCTAAGCTATCAATTTTAGTCCGTTTTAGTATTTAAACTTTCAATTTTTCAAAACTATACCTAACATTTAGTTTTTATTTTATTTTAGTACCCGTCGTTAAAAATTTAATGCGTTTACTACCTAAACTATTAGCGTTGGTTTGTCTTAGTGCCTAAATTTTCAATTTTTTTTCAAAACTTGACGTTAAATTTTTAACGAGTACTAAAATGAAATAATAATTAAACGTTAAGTATGATTTTGATAAAATTGAAAGTTTATGTAACAAAACGAATCAAAACTGATAACTTAGATATTAAATGTGTAATTTATCTAAAAAATAATGATGATGGTGACATATTACTGTAAGATATCCATATTATCATTAAAAAAATATAAAAAAGTTATGATGTCAAAAGTTTTATTTGATTTTTAACTACGTGTGACAAAAAGATCTTCGTCGCAGTGCCACTACCCTCCATTTTTCTTATTATTAAAAATATGTGTAAGTATCAAATTAGAACTCTTAGTGTAGCTTCTTTTGATTCCGCTACCATTTTGTTAATACTTTGTCCCCTCGAGTTGGGAACAAAAACGAATTGTATACATGATTTTAAAAAATGGTTGGATGATTAAAACGATACTATACAAATAAAATGGTGAATAAATATGTAGTTTACCTTTGTTTTTATATGGTTATATATATAAGAGGAAGTGATTTATGGGGGAAATGATTGCAGTTGCGATAGGATACTGTGGAAAGGCGAAGGAGTGAAGCAAATATGGTACTCAAGGGGGGAGTCGAGGTTTTCGGATCACAGGCCAGTTTATTCCCTCTTCTCGGTCCAAGTGAATTTAGCCAACCATCCCATCTCCACCGCTAGATCCTGTCCTCCAACTCTATCAAAATTAACAGCCAAAGTCCAAGCCGAAGAGCTCTTGCTCATTCCCACCCTACAAAGCTGCTTAAGCACTTCCTCCCGCTTCTGAAAACCCTCAACTTAAAGCTGTCCACCGCCATTCTTAAGATGGAGTACTGCGTTTATGATGATTAATACTTGAAAAAATTGCATGTGGATTGTTCATGCCTGATTTTTTTGTCAAAAAGGCTATGATCTCAATGGAATCTGTAAATATGTTCAGAAACAGAAGCACTGAAGCCTCTCTCTCTCTCTTCTTCGTTTGATTATGATTAAAGAGAGCTTTGATTAAAGTGTGAATGGAAGGAGGATAAAAAAAGGGTTTGCACTTTGCAGGGAAAGTTGTGGCAGAAGAGCTTTGATTAAAGCATGCACTGTTTAGAAACTGCAAATGTTATATTATTGATAATTGGCCAATTTAGTATTTCAGTTTTTCTGTCAACTCGCAAGTGTTTTGAGTGAGAATCATATGATCGAACCAGTACTATGTGTTCAATTCCAGCCAAAACATAATTTCAAAAAAATTCCACCCAAAACATAGATGGTAGATATTATATATGTTTAGGTTCCACTTATATTGTTAATTTTTTTTTTAATTTTACATATTTTTAGGATTATTGGATTAAAGGAAATTAAATGCTATGATTAACTCCTTATTATCTTTTTTAGTGAATATATTCTCATTTTTACTATTAATATCATTCAATGGTCTTAATAAGGTGTAAAACTAAAAGAGTTTTACACCGAATAATTAGATCATACCCCTAATATATATATATATACTCTTTTGGTTTTACAAATAGTTAGGACTGTTGGACGAGTGAAAACGGATCCTCAGTGACCGAAAATGCCTTATAATATACGATTTTAACCAACTTTTTTTGGATTTGCCAAAATGACCAACAAATTCGCAACGCGAACTCCAATTTCGCAACCCAGTTTCCAATTTCGCAACGCGAATATGTAAATCGCATTGCGATTTTCCAAATTCGCGTTGCGATTTTCCAAATTCGCGTTGCGATTTTCCAAATTCGCAACGCGAATCTGTAAATCGCAACACAGAAGTCAAATTCGCAATGCGATAGTCAAATTCACAACGCAATAGTCAGATTCGCAACGCGAATTTGTAAATCGCAACACAGAAGTCAAATTTGCAACGCGATAGTCAAATTCGTAACATAAAAGTCAAATTCGCAACGCGATAATCAAATTCGCGCACATAAGTCAAATTCGCAACGCGATAGCTAAATTCGCAACACAAAAGTCAAATTCGCAACGCGGAATTTCAAATTCACAACGCGAAACACAATATTAATTTCGCAACACAAATGTAAACAGTATTATCGCAAATCATAACCTAAAACCCTAAATCACAACTCAGTCCCTCTCCATCTCTCACTCTCTATGGCGACATCCGTCCCCATCTCCGACAAAATCCGTCCCCATCTCCGGCGAAATCCGTCTATCTCCATCTCGCAGAGCAACCCTCATAACCATTCACGGTCAGAAACGTAAAATCAACCACTGAGGGTTAGTTTTTTAATCTCTTATTTTTATTTTGAGATTTTTGTATTATTATTAGATTTTTCTTACATTGATGATAAATTTACTGGTAATTTCAATATATATAAAGATTAACCATTTCACTGAGATTGCTTAGTAAATTCATTCGGTTGCTGCCAATATTGCTAAACTGTTTAGTCTTTAACCCTGTGAAGTTAGTATTTGTCTTTGTTTTTTCTTTTTGTTGAAGAAATGCAATTCATTCAAGTTTCAATTTGCAGAAGAATAGTTTTTGAAACTTAAATTCGCAACACGAAAATAAAAATCGCAACACCAAAATCACAACGTGATTTTAGTTTCGCGTTGCGATTTTCATTTTCGCATTGCGATTTTCTCGTTACGATTTTCATTTTCGCGTTGCGAATTTAATTTTCAGAAACTACTCTTATTCTGCAAATTGAAACTTGAATGAATTCCATTACTTCAACAAAAAGACTAAACAAAGACAAATACTAACTTCACAGTGTTGCTAATTTAAGTTTCAAGAATAAACTACTACTCTTTATGTTGTCCTTGAACCTGCACTAAACCTATATGTTGTCTTTTTAAATGTTTATATAAGTGCTTACTTCTTGAATGTTATTTGATGCATTTTGTGAACTATGATGGAATAATGACAACATGTGAATACCGTGCTAGTTTGAAACATATTTGGCTTTGTTTTCACTGTTTAATATCATGTCTGTTTATAGTGTATAATTTGTAGTTTTTGGTATATCTAACTTGGTATGTTTATTGTTTTTGTAGAAATTTTTTTCGGTTGCATTGACCTTAAGGAATAAATTAAGCCTAGCCACTAAAATTACGTCGACGCTTACACCTCTACAAAGAAAATTGTTTGAGGATACTTGCTTCGGGCCATGGCTGAAAGTACAACATACGGGTGGAGATGCTATGTTGACACATTTGTTTCTTCATACCATGACTAACAATCTACTTGAGAGGATACAACGTGGTGACGAAGAGATATGGTTTCATTTTCCTCCGGCACCGGCGTATACTTGTTTTGGGCGGGAGGAGTTTTGCTTAATCACTGGTCTACGCTTCGGACACGATGAAGTAACCCGGTACACTAGTCATATCTCCCTCCCATTATGGTTATCTCGGGTTTTTCCTGAGCTGGCAAAGTCGAAGCCGAGTTTACACGTCGACGACTTGAAGATTATTTGTTAAAGATGGTTTTACTCTGATGGATGACCTTGATGTTGTCCAAGTATGCCATTTATTACTTTTTCATACCGGCTTTTTAGGCAAAGAGGGCAGACAACCTATCTCTGAGGACCTAATATTATTGGTAGAGGACCTAAATGCATGAAACCTGTTTCTATGGGGTTCATATCTATGGAAAGCTACTTGGAAGAAGTTGTCGTCTGTCTTTGAGGACCGAAAAAGTTTGCGGGGCGATGGTTCTAAATACACTTTGACAGGCTTTACTTGGGCCTTTAAGGTAAGAATTTCTATATAATGTTTCCAAAATTATAATTAATTATTTAACAATTACTAATGTTTGTGTATTATATTGTTTTGTAGATTTGGATATTTGAGGCTTTCCCCAGCATGCAGACATATGCGATAAAAAGATCAAATGATATTCCTAGGGCTATTACCTGGAAGAGGATCTGCATGTTGGATTGGGAAGAGTTACTCCCATATATGACGATGAATGATGTAAGTTAACACACAAATAATACCATATATAAACAAGTTATTACTAGTACAAGTTTAACTTTGTTTGAGCTTTTATATTGTTAGGAGGCCAACTATCCATTACAGAGGCTGACACCCACAGAGGCTGAGCTTGCCACTGATTGGTGACAAGCTAGTAAGCGGTTTTTTGATGGGACAGATAATGAGCACCCCCACTTCGAGAGCCATCACATGATCGGGCCGATTCTACAGCTCGACACCCGGAGCCATCACCTGATCGAGCCTCTTCTCCACCTCCATCATCACCTCATGATAGACGACCGGCAAAGAGGCCACGAAATTTATCTCCCTGTTCTCCACCTCCACGGGATGAGTTAGGGGAGTTACGTGATGAGGTCGGCGCTTTACATCATGAGGTCGGTACTTTACATGAAGATAATGGTGCATGGCGTGATGAGGTTCGGTCTTTACGTGGTGAGGTGGATTTTTTACGCGATGACAATGGTGCGCTACGTGGTGAGGTATCTACTTTACGTGATGAGGTTGCCGCTCTACGCGAGATTGTTTCATCGTTGCAGAATGAGGTTCATACTCTACGCAATGAGGTAAATTTGTTTAATTCTATACTAAAAATGCAAATAACTTTTTTTCGACATTATTTATTTATTTATTTACTGATTTATGTATTAATTTATTTTTAGCGGCCCGATAAGGTAGATGCTTTACGTTGGATTTTTCTTGCACGACAGGGTTCACGCATCAGACGTCGTGCACGTGCCATTACGTCTCCGTTCACCCCACTAGTGCCAAGACTCCGTAAGAAGAAGCCCGATGCACCTATCATCATTCAAGAGGCGCCTCCTATCGTTCAAGAGGCCCCTCTCATCATCGAAGAAGCCCATCCCACCGTTCAAGAGGCCCTATCATCGTTCAAGAGGTCCCGCCCACCGTTCTAGAGCCCGATTCATATGGCGTCATATGTCGACATATTGATAAACCCCCTCCCCTGCCCAATATGATGGATGAGAATTGGCTTTCGTATGTGTTACCAGCCAGTACCATTCCTCAGCAGGAGAGTGAAACACTACCGGACACAATTATGGATAACACCCTTTGGGCTAAGACCGCAGTTGATTTTTATCTACATGAGCAGAGCAATGGGTGTTATTCTGACCTATGCCAACTCGACAATGTCATGCATTTGTTTCTTGATCGGTCTTGGTGGGGTATTTTATTAGGGGTTGAAGATAATGGCTACCTCGAAGGGGTGGTAAGTCTTATATTCTTCTTATATTGCATTTTGATTAATTTTTTTAAATTATTAATAAATTCACTAATATATTTATTTTTTTATAAAACAACATATTGATGCGTGGGTGTCACGTCTTCTAATAATAAGGAAATTGAGGAAAATAAGAAATACTCGATGGACTATTATGCCGACGTCTTTTCACGTAGCTCACTTGAAGGATCCGAGAGATGCTTCATATATGTTGGGTAATGAAAAAGCTAAACTTTATCCTGTTTGGTAGGAGGTCTATAAGGTTAGTATTTATTTTTTGAATATTTTAAAGGTTTTCATAAATTTTATTTGATGTGCGCAATTATTTATGATTGCAGGTGTTTATCCATGTTTTGGAACGTCGTCATTGGCTTCTCGTCGAGCTTCAGCTCCCATCCTTGAAGATAATGGTATATGACAGCATGTTGAATTACATACCATTGTCTGATTTGAGAGATATTATTTGTAAGGGATGGAGCGCTCATTTGGTGAAATACTTAGACGCGATTGATTATTGGACTAATTCTGGAAACAATAAGCCAAAAAAGTTCAAAGTTACAATGATTAGAGACGATACC